GAAAAAAAATGGTGATAACAGGAACTAACTTGTTTTGACTTGTTCGGACTTTCCACTAAATTAAATGTAAATAAAATAATAAACTGATAATAAATGTGATGCATCAGTTTTTAATTAACAAAGTAATAAGTAGAACTTCATACCAACAGCATCAATGGGAATGCCTCCACCGTCAACAACTCTAATCCTTCTTGTTACTAATGTGTTTGTTAATAATTTGTATCTTAAAATATATTTAAAACAGAAAAGAACTTGTTCAGTCATTTGACCTTGCTGTGACCTTGACCTTTCATTCCACTCCAGCAGGAGCCACACCTGATTCCACCTGTTCAATCAGTTGAGCTTGGCTTTCAATAGAATCAGGTGTGGCTTATGCTTGGTTGGAATGAAAACCTGCACCCACACCAGTCATTTCTGGATAAGATTGGACACCCCTGGTCTAGAGCTTGCAAGTTTGAACAATCCCCCTTACCCCCACCCCCAGCCATCCAAGGCTCAGGAGTACAAAGGAAGAAAAAAATTGCCCATGCGCTCTCGGTGAGAAGGGGAGCATTAATCTCGCCCCTGTCAATTAGAGTGAAATTAGCCAATCTTATGCATATGTAGATAATTAGCGCTCTCCTCTGAGTTTGTTATGTCACAGCTTGAAAATATGCATTGGCTGGTTGCATGAGCTGGTTCATCCTCCCTTGTTGGCATTTGTGTAACAATAAGCCAGTGGGTGGGAAATGGCAGTGACTAAAACTGGGGAAAACTACTGGGACCAAAAAAATAAATAAAAATCCAGTAACACATATCACTGAAAATTGAGTTGCTGGATTTATTCCATCGACTGTCTGAGAAGTAGCACCATAATCCAATCAATGATGGAGAGCCTCACAGACAATCTGTGCAGTGCATTCTGGGTTTATTTCCCATCAGTCATAGCATCCATAGTGTTTTGTTACTATATCCAGTCTGTTACTTTCCTTTCTGTTCTAAATCCAGCTCTATTCAAATAGCCTTGTGCTAGATTGGAAAATATAACTCCTAGCAAAATATATAGGATGCTTTAATTCTATCTCTCTCTATCTCTCACTCTCTCTCATGTATATGGAAGTGACACAGCTCCAATATGAAAAGTGTGTCCTCTCATTCCCACTGCTGACTTCTAAATATTCACACCAGAGCCTGAGATGGCAGGGGTGTGTGAGGACTAAATGCTTGGGGAATTTCCAGGTCACGGTATATTTTTCCTCCCCAATCTGCTCCAGATAGCACAGCCTGCAGCTGCTCTCAGAAATGTTGGCTGTTATGAGACGATAAGAGTTTGCTAGGTGCAGTTAGTAGCTGGCAGAAGAGGCAGAGGTTAGCAGGGGGCTTCTTGTTGAACTTGTGGCCTATTGTTATGCCAATTCTGCATTTTCTACAAGAAATACCTAGTTTGTAGGTTTGTTGGTTTCTGTTAATCACTCAAGTTGCTATATATAAAATACTTGACATCTGATATTAAGGCTTGAGTATTGGTAGTTCTGAATAAACAACTGGAACTGGATAATGCTATTTTTTTTCTAAGGGACTTAATAACGGTTTAAAAAAAACCCTAAAACATTTAATAGTTTTTAACACTGGGTGCTTTATGAGAGTATTAAAAGAGTACCTGCTTGCCTACACAATGTCATCAAGAATCAATCACAAGGTTGATCATGTTCAAGAAAAACTACAACTGAGGAACTCAGAAGAAGTAGCAGTTATGTAACCGCCCAATATTCTTAGCATTTTGTTATTGTCTGCATTAAGTACCACTTCTCATTAACAGTTTCTTCACAGAAAGGTTCATTTGTTATAGCAATGAGTTTTGTAAACACTTGTGTATCTACACGTAACCTTTAAATTTCTCACTTTAGAACTTTTACAGAATTAATAATAAGCTTCAAATAATTTCAGGAGAATAACATAGTAAGGTAAATTTGTTAGGCTTGTGAATGTAATATTCTCTTTTGAATTAATATCTTTGTTAGTCCTTGTTAATAATTTAAGTTAACACCACTCATAGTTCTGGCTTTTACACGAGTAACCTCTACAATGTTATATGAATTTTAATAAACTTCAACCTAAAGAAACTACTTGAAATTTTTTAAGCAATTGACTTCCTGGTCTTTTTTTCAACAAAGTCAATGTATTAAAATTTATAGTGCGATCACAACAGTCATCAAAATTATTATTTGCACAAAGGAAACAACTGAATTGCCCATTTTAAATTAAAAGCATCATAATTTACTCAATGTATACTCAATAAACTATTCTTAAAGTCAGCACAGGGTTTTAGTTATGCACAAACAATCCTGTGATTTTAAATGAATGAACTTCTTGGGGTTATCCATGCCTTGTCATTCTGCTAACACACTCCTACACCTGAATGTCCTTGCTTGTTTATCTAAGCAGGCTGAAAAACACTCCCTATTCATTGCAAGGAATGAAATGCTAATGTAAAGTCCTTGCATGAAGGTCATAGTGCATGAAGGTCACAGTGCAGAAAAGTCACTGACAAATAGGTATATTCACCCACGCCTTTCTAGAACCCAAAAAATCCAAGTGAAATGATTAAACAAGTCTTTTTCTACAACTAGATCTGAATAGATGATGTATCCTGTCAGGTAAAACAATAATTAAAACTTTTTTAAGATACTGATTTTATATATATATATATATATATATATATATATATATATATATATATATATATATATATATATATAAATTAATTATATACAGTGGCTACAAAAAGTCTACACACTCCGGTTAAAATGGCAGGGTTTGTGATGAAAAACATTAAACCAAGGTCAATCATGTTTTCCATCCTCAATGTGAAATTACAATGTATTAAAATTAAATGAAAAACAATATTTTTTAAAAATAGGGAAAAATAGGAAATCTTAGTTTCATAAGTGAGCACACCCATGAACTACCTTTTGATTTTATTACACCACTCTGTCTGTTTGCGTTAAGTGTCTATCAGTGGGGCAATTCTTGACTTGGCAATATTTTCCCACTCTTTCCTGCGAAAACATTCTAAAACCATCAAATATTAAGGGCATCTCCTGTGCACAGCCCGCTTCAGATCACCCCACAGATTTTTAATTGGATTCATGCCTGAGCTTAGGCTAGGTCATTCAGAAGCATTGATCTTCTTATGGCTAAGCCATTCCTTTCTTGATCTAGATGTATGCTTTGGGTCATTGTTGAAATTCTTTTTGATCTCCAGCTTACTAGCAAACGCCTGAAGGTTTTGTACTAAAATTGACTGGTATTTGTAGCTATGTAAGAATGATTCCCTCCACCTTGATAAAAGCAGCCCTTAAGCATGATACTTCCACCACCATGCTTCACCGTGGGTCTGGTGTTCTTTAGGTGATGTGCTATTTTTTGGAGCAAACATCCATCTATCCAGCCACCTTCTTCCACTTACTCCTTTTCAGGGTCACGGGGAACCAGGAGCCTATCCCAGGGAGGGCAGCAAACATACCTTTTGGAATTATGGAATTATTATACCTTTTGGAGTTGGTCTCACTAGACCATAACACATTTTGCCACATGGTTTGGGGTGATTTAATTTGGCTTGCATTATTATTATTTTTTGTGAGAAAGGGCTTCCGTCTAGCCACCCTACCAAATAGCCAAGGACTGTGAAGAATACAAGAGATTGTTGTCACATGCAGAGAGCAATCAGTACTTGTCAGATATTCCCGCAGCTCCTTTAATGTTGCTGTAGGTCTCTCGGCAGCCTATCTGGTATGTTTTTGTCTAGTCTATTTGTAAATTTTATTAAAATCTAGTACATCTAATATTTTGGAAATTCTTTTATACCCCTGTCCTGATTGATACCTTTTAACAACTGAGATACCATGCATGCTTTGTAAGCCCTTTGCAGACCATGGCCTCACCATTGGGATGAAACCAAGAAGATGTGAAGAAAATCCCACAGAAACAGCTGGTATGTATCTGGGGTTAATCAGCATAATTTAATTGAGCACAGTTGTATAATTACTTTTGAACATGAGACTGAATTTGAATGTTAATTCTGAACACAGTAGCATCCCCAATTATAAAAGAGTGTACACACCTATGCAACCAAGTTAATGTAACTTTTTTCTATTTTTCCCTAAAATGTTTCTAATTGTTTTTCACTTAATTTTTGTACATTGTAATTTCAAATTGACTATGGGAAAAGTTCTGATGTGATTTACCTTGGTTTTTTTAAATCACCAAAAAAAACCAACACAGGGGTTTTCACACCTTTTTTAACAATAATGTAATTTTCTGTGCACAATTTACATGTGAATTAGGCTGCAGATCATTCATGTGGCACATTTATGTGGCATTTATTTAAAGCCACTTTATTAGGAAAACCTGCACCCATGCTCATTCATGCATTTGTCCTATCAACCAATTGTGTGACAGCAGTGCAATGCATAAAATGCAAGTCAAGAGCTTCAGTTAAATTCATATCAAATCAGAATGGGGGAAAATGTGATCTCAGTGACTTAGTAGTGTGCTTCCGTAGTGTGGCTGTTGGTGCTAGATGGGCTGGTTTGAGTAATTCAGAAACTGCTGATCTCCTGGGATTTTCATGCAAGAGTCTATAGAGCTGAATGGTGTAAAAAAACAAAACTCATCCAGTGCAGGAAAACAGAGAGCAGGTATATGAGGCTACAATGGGCACAGAATCATAGAAACTGGACTGAAGTTTCTGAAAAAAATGTGATCTTCTCTAATGAATCTCCATTTCTGCTCTGATGGTCATAATTTGGTCTCAAGTGTATGAATCCATGGACCCAACCTGATTTGTGTCAACAGTTCAGGCTGGTGTTATAACTGTGTTCTTTACTACCAGCATCATTTGAATTCCACAGGGTGTTACAGTATCACAAATTATTGCTGCTGACTATATTTACGTTTACAGTATTAGGCAGAGTGACTTACATTTATCTCATTCATACAAGGGCCCAACAGTGGCAGCTTGGTGGTGCTGGGGTTTGAACACATGACCTTCTGAACAATAGACCAACACTATAACCACTGAGCTACCACTGCCCACATGCTTCCTTTTATGGCCACAATTTACACATCTTATAAAGGCCACTTCCAGCAGGATAATCAGTCCCTCCATGATCTTGTGATCACAGAAATTAATGTAAAATCAAGCAAAAACTCCAGAATATTTGGAGGAGGTCGTATTTTTCAAACTTACAGACTTTCAAACTTAGATTTGGGCCAAGACGCGTCATGTGACATCATCACAACGTGATGCCCTCTTTGATTCATGTGCGTCGAACATGAGTACAGCTAACAGGTCTCATTTCCCAACAAACATCACCGTGGAAAAACCATGCAAAACAAATGTTGTGAAATTGCAATTTAGTCAATTCAAGTAGTTTTTCGCAAAAGAAGCAGAAAAAAGCTCTGCCAGTTGCGTCGCAAATTTTGAAGAAGAGAAAAAAAGCTGCAGCGAATTCCATTGTTAGTATGGTGTTCCTAATAAAGTGACTGTAATGTGAGTCTATACAGTAACTGGGCAATTGAGGGCTAAAGACTTTGCTAAGGGACCCTACAGTGGTTTTCTGGTAACTTGCAAAGCATGAAGGCACATTATAACCACATAACACACATCCAAAGTGATCTGGTAACTCACACACTGACTCAGAGGCCATGCTTGATTTTTTCTTCTTGTATGTGATGTTATATTTCACACTGCCCCAGTCTCACAAAGCATCAAATTAATTGCGATGACTAAAGAGACAGGCTAAGAACATTTAATTTTGAAGACAAGGATCTGAGCTCAAATTTACGACATGACCATTTCTCATAACGGAACTGCTCTATAGGACAAATGTGATAAAGCCAGATGACGAGCAGCTGCACAGATGACAGTCAGGTGCAGGTGGATGTAGGAGGGGGGGTGAAAGGGTGAAAACTGCTGGAGACAAGAGTATCTCTCATTTACACCAGGCAAACTGCAGGTGTGGTGAGGAGTAAAACAGATTGAAGCTCGACATAAAAAATGCATGTTAATCTGGTGAGTGTCCCTAGCTGGCCAGCTGAATCAAGTCTTTTAGACCTTATTAGCCCGACTCAGCCGTGCCTCACATAACTAAATCCTGGGTCGTGCCTCCCACATGGCCACTAAATCAATCCTGCATGGCACAGGACTGAACTCATGTAGGTAGTGAGCAAGTAAAGAATTAAAATAAATTAAATATACAGTATGTTATTATTATACCATTTCTATAATATACCACATAGTATTAAAGTGCTGATTAATCAACTGGACAAACAACTAAGTAAAATGATACGATATACATGACCCTGACTACCGATCTGTGTACAGTAAATCTAGTTATATAGTTATTAAGCTATTACAGGACACGACATTGGAAATACCAAGCATCCATAATTAATTCAGCATTTGTCAAATTGCCTTTGGGCAAAAACTGATGCCAATCCTTAACTGCCAATTCCTTTTTGCTAAGCAATTCATTTATTCATACAGTTTAGATTTGGCTTATTAAAGCAAAAACGTTCCCCTCCGTAATCCTCAGCCCACTTCTAATCTACTTCACCTCCTAATACAGCTGAACCCGGCAATCATCGCTGTTCAGCCTGGATTACCTGGCTAGGGAGGTGAAACAGAATAAAACTGCTGTTTGTCCCCAAGGACAGACCTGAGATCTATACTGTTAATGTTATTCTACAGTTGATAGAGTACTGTTTACAATATGGTGTATCCATTAAAAAATATATACAAGCTTGCTTACTTACTAAGAGGAAGCACAGCTCTACCTTAACAAATGTCATTTTGAGAACTCAACTCATTTTGAGTATATATAAAAAAAAATACTTCAGAAAGAATAGAAGCTGCTAACAAGCAATGTACAGTAGGAATACACATTCAACCCTAACAGGGATGGACAATCCAGTAGCCTGAGCAGCCAGGACAAGCAGATTTTAATTTCTTGTGTATATGGTGGTGGCGATTGTTCATGCTGGTGCGATGCCGTAGCTATAGAACCTGCTACTCATTACAAATCCCAGCACGTGCTCCACTACATACATCAGCTGAAGGTAGAACGATTTCTACTAGGGTACATGGATGACAGACACTCTTTTCAGAATCAGAAACACAAAGGTGTGTGGAAATAAAGTGAGGCGTTAAGCTGCCATATAAGTTTTCTGCCAGCACTTAAACCCTTAAAACAGTCTCTAAAGCAGGGGTCACCAACACGGTTCCCGCGGGCACCAGGTCACCCTCAAGGACCACATGAGACGCCCGCAGGCCTGTTCTAAAAATAACACAACTCACCAGTGAGCTGCGTCTAAAATTTGATATGGGTTTCTAATAAAATTATATTATTTATTTTTTATACTGTCAATTTTTTATTCCCATATTGAAGTTGAAAAGGTATAGTTCAAAGGTCAGTTCGTGGAGCGTAAGCTAGCGGGCGCAGCGAAGACGGGGGGCCTTAATGCGGTTTCTTGCCCCAAAAACATGGCCAAAGAAAGAAAGAAAACTTATTTTCACAGTGAATGGGAGGAAGCATTCTTTTTCACTACCGTAAAAGAAACCATCTTGTGCTTAATTTGCAGGGCGACTGGGGCACTTCCCCTCTGTGCAGTCGGTGCTGAAAGACAATGCTTCTGCATCTGAGACATTTGACAAAGTTGCAGAAAAGTACTGTCAAGTCATAAACAGACTTGGGCAAGAGTTTGAGAATAGGTTTTGAGACCAGCTTGAGTCATGTGTGTCATTCATTTCCAATCCTTTCATGAACGTGGACATAACATGCATTGCTGAGCATCTTAGTGCAAATTTCAACTTGGATGCTGAACAGGTGGAGCTTGGAATCATAACATTGCAAAATGACCTCCACCTCAATGTCTACCAGGCTACACCAAACTTTTGGTGCCTTGCTGACACAGAAATGTAAAGTGGGGTATGCACAGCAGCTATGAAGGTTGCCAGCCTGTTTGGTTCAACCCATTTCTGTGAATCAGCATTTTCTGACATGAACTTCATCAAGAACAAACAGAGCACGCCTCACTGATGCACATCTGCAAGACTCACTCAGAGTTGCAGTGCCAAGTTACACACCAGATTACAATACACTGGTGAACTGCATGCAATGCCAGTCTTTCCACTAACAAAAAAAAAGATAACAGATGTTGCCAGTGCCAACATGGCAGTGCCATGGCAAAGTTGAATTAAAATATTGAAAAATTGTGTTCAATTCAAAAGTGTGTTCATGAAATGTAACAGAGATCATTTTGTTAAGAATGCCGCAGATTTGGTCATTAGTTCAAAATGTGATGAGATTTATTTAAAAATACAAAAGTTGATTTCTCTTAAACATTACATACTTGATAGCTTTTTCAAACATGGTGCAACATAGTTCATGATTTGTTCAAATGGTTTGTCTGTGGCTAGTGACAATGGGACATTTTTCCGATGAAATGTTGTAGAAGTGATCATCTCAAAATTTAAACAATTGCTGAGATTAATAGAAATAAAGTGTTGAATATTGATATTATCTGTTTCCCACCTTGTTTATTCATTGTTGATAATTATTGTGAGAAATCATTAATGTGACCAGTGTCTTCACCTAGATGGCTATCACTTATTAATAATAATAATAATATATAACTAAAGGCAAACTGAGCAAGTTTGTTATTTCAGAAGAGTGTATCAAACTTGTATCCCTTCGTATGACTCAGTACCCATGAAGCAGCTCTCAGTTTTAAAAAGGTTGGTGACTCCTGCCCTAAAGGATTAACCGCTATATTCGGAGGAGCTTGCTGTTTTTCAAAAGTCATCACAACGCGCATTCAACCAAAGCCCTCTTTGATTCACGCGTGTTGCAGATGAGTACACTAAAAGGTCTCATTTACCAACCAACATCATTGTGAAAGACCGTACAAAACAATTAGGCCAATTGAAGTAGTTTTCCACGAAAAAGAAAAAAAAACACAAATAAACTCAAAATAGCAAATTTCAAAAATAGCCACAGCAAAATCGAGCAATTGTGCATGACAATCACAAAAAAATAACTCTGCAAAATCCTGTATGGGCTGTTAAATGCAGTCTGAACAGAAAACGGAAAATGGAGACGCTAGGCTCAATTGACATATTTTACACACGATGCGAAGACAGAAAAACAGATCACATAGCTGAAACATTGATCATAACTTGATGACTTTTTTTGAGGGCCTCAAATAGGATGTGCTATATTAGAAAATTTGCTACTCCTTCCTTAATGCACAAAACTGGATGGTTATGTATTATTACATTACATTAGCTACCCCGTTTAACTTTTTTAGGATTCCAAGCACCAAAACATGGTATTGCCTGGGTTAGCTCAGTAATAACTTTTTGATTGGTCCACCCCTGCATGCAACATTTGATTTAAATTCATAAATTCTTCACACCTTCTGATCTTAGAAACACTCTCCGAGCAAGCCAGGAGGAGCTGTGGCCTCATTTTGCAGGGTGAGGGCTTCATTACTGCGGTCACTTTCCCCACTTCCACCTGCTGTAAATCAGCACTGCCCTCGCCCATGGCTCGTGCAATTTTCACAACGATCAAAAGATCAGGAGACATGATTGTATCTAGCCGGTGTGCACACACAGACGAGATGTACGGCCTGACTGCATCATTACTCCTGGGACCTTTGCCCTGACTGCATCATTACTCCCAGTAGGCTGCGAAATAGATGAAGTGATTCAGGGTTAAAGACATTGCAGCACCTGTGTGTGTGTGTGTGTGTGTCTACATGTGTGAAAATGTGTGCAAAAAATTCATGACTTCCGCTCTGTGATTTCAGCAGGCTAAATAAAGGAGTACTGTCGTGACTTTCAGGTTCCACCGCATCCATAAGAAAGATGGCACACATAATTGTTGCAACTTTTGATAATGTTAGAATTATATGTGACTGGCTATGTGAAATGTTTTAGTGAATCTAACATGTACAGCTCAATTATGATGGCGTCTCTCAGGCTAAGCACTAAGTAAGGAGCAACACATAACTCGTATACGAAAATAA